CTCCTCCTCCTCCTCCTCCTCCTCCTCATCCTCCTCCTCCTCCTCCTCCTCCTCCTCCTCCTCCTCGTACATCTCGTCGCCCGGCTGGAGCAGCCGAGGCTGGAGCTGGAGCTGGCGATTTGGTTCTCGCAGGAGCCGCGTCGGTGTCAGAACCGTCCATTCAGAAGGCACGAGCGACCGGGGGCGCAAACTCTGGCGGCGGGCACCCGTCGCCGTGGCGGCGGCGAGCAGCGGCGTGCTCGAGAAGTCTGGCTCGGCCCTGCCCCCCACTTCAGCGGCGAGCGAGACGGAGAGGGCCCTCTCAGAGGGCCCTCTCAGAAGGCGGCGGGGCCCTCTGAGAAGTGTTCTCTGCGTCTTCGGTGGGGAGGTTCCAAAAGCTTGGACGCCGGTGGCAGTCCGCGCGGAAAGGTGCCGTTTGCACTTCGCTCTCGCCGCTGCAGCTCACAGCTCCCCCCCCCCAAAAAAATGGGAAGGGAACGGGTTCACTTCTCAGAACGTCAGCGGGCCTCCGAGCCTCCGAGCCTTCTGAGAGGGCCCGCCACCTCACACTGCCCCCTCGGCGCGCCGCCGCCCACTTGCCCCGCCCTCCCCCCCACCCCGGCGTCCTCGCGGGTGGCGGGCGGTCGGCGCAGCTGACGGTTCCACGACCATGGTGCGGCTGCGCGGTGGGAGCAGGGCGGCTCCGCAGTTGCGGACAGCAATTTTGGCCCAGTTTGTCGCGCCGCGACGCTTTAAGCATTTCCCGGTCCCCAGGCGTCTACGTTCCGAGCTGCTTCCACGCGGGGCGGGGCGGCACGCTGTGCGCTCGCTGGGCACAGCGTGTCGCTCGAGGCAGTGGCAAGGCGTGGGCCCCATTGGGGTGTGGGCATTGGGCGGCCTCGTGTTCGTGCAGTCGGCGCGTCCAGGAGGGCGGCGATCATTTTTTAGTGGCGCGTTGGACAAGCAGCGCTGCCCTGGCGCTCCACAGGATCAGCTGATCACAGCTACTGCAAGGAAGCGAGCAAGGCCGAGCTCGCCCGCCAGTTTCCCCACTCCATCCCTGCACCGTGTAATGTGGGGGCGAAGCGCCCGCAGGCGCGCCGCAAGGTCTTCGGGCGGCCCGCGGGGAAGGAAATTACGGGTAGACTGAACCCGCCCAAGACGTCACCATGCCGGATCCCCCAGCAGCCCTCGAAAGTGGGGACAGGTTCGCAGATTGCAGTTCCCGAGTGATGGCGAGGTCGAAAATGAGTTCGCGCAGGACGTCCTTATGCTGCTGGGCCCCCCAGCAGCCCTCCAAAGTGGCTACAATTTTGCAGTTCGCACGCCACCAGGGATGGCGAGGTCGAAGTTGAGTCCGCGTAAGGCGTCGTTCCACCGGACCCCCCCGCAGCCTTCGAAAGTGGCGCCAGTTTCGCAGCCCGCACCCCCCAAGGAACGGCGATGTTTAATTTGAGTGCGCGTAAGACGTCGTTCCGTTGGACCTCCCAGGAGCCTTCGAAAGTGGCGACAACAGCTCTCGACATTGGCGAGGTCGCCGCCCACTTGCGAGCTCTAATCCGAATCTGCGTGGGGCGCGACTCCGTTTGACCTCCCAGCAGCTTTTACAAGTGGCGACAGTTTCGCAGACCGCTGTCCCCCATGGATGGCGAGGTCTATCTTGAATCTGCGCGGGGCGTCATTCGGTTGGATCCCCCAACGGCCTTCAAAAGTGGCGAGATTCCAACGCAACGGGGTTGGGACTAATTAGTGGTTTTAGCCTTGTCGCCCAGGCGCCCTGAGGCGTCCTGGGTGCCCTTGCGAGAGCCTCTAGGAGCCTCTTGGGGGTCTGGTGTGGGCATTTTGGGGACCTCTAGGTGCCTCTTGGCCACCCCTTGGGACCGCCTTGGGGCACCCTGGGGCCTCGGGAGCCCTCTTCCTGCCATTTTGGAGAGATCGGTTAAAGGAGGGAGTTCTTTAATATCCTGGGCGTCCCTTGGGGCCGTCTTGGGGCATCCTTGAGAGCTTCGGGGGTCATTCGGGGGCAGTGAGGGGATCGAGCAAAAAAGGGCCGCACGAGTCAAAGACCGAATCAGAGACCCCGCGCGAGGTAGAGGTGGACGAGATAGAAACGGATAATGGACGGCGAGGTGGATAAGGTATACAAAGGAGATGTGGGAAAGAGGGGAAGAACGAAGAGGAGAAGGAGACGGAACAAGAGCTGGAAGAGCCACAAGATTTGTGCAGTTCGTATTGATGTTGCGTTTGGCGCTGGGGAAAAGGATGCTTAGGATGACAAGTTGTTTCGCATATTTGATTGTTGCCGACCGTGCCAGACACTAAAGGAAAGGCGTTGCAGCAAAAGCGAACGCAACGCCAACCACAATATAAGTCGGCATCATAGGGGAACGCGGGATTCAATTTCAGTTTCTGGTTTCGGTGCCACCTTCGTCCGCTTTCGAGATTCGGTACTGCTTTTTGGTTTCAATATCAGGGGATTTGGTTTCAATGCCGGTTTTTTTGGTTGCAGTACCGGCTTTTGGTTTCAATATCAGGTGATTTATTTTCAATACCGGTGTCTTTGGTTTTGTTGCCATTTGCGGTCCTCTCTCTTGTCTTCTTTTCCTTCCGTTTTTACTTCCATCTCCTCTTTCCGTTCTCTCTTCCTTCCGTCCTCTTCTCTTTTGGTCTTCTCTCCTTTCCGTCCTCTCCTTCTTCCGTCCTCTCCTCTTTCGGTGTTCTCTTTCTTCCGTCCTCTCCTCCTTTCATCCTCTCTTTCTTCCGTCCTCTCCTCCTCTTGTCCTTTCTCGTCCTCTCCTCCTTCCATCCTCTCCTCTTTCCGTCCTCTCCTCCCATCTTCTCTTTTTTCCGTCCTCTCCCGTCTTTTCTTCCATCCGCCTCTCTTTCCGTCCTGTCCTCCGTTCTTTCCGCCTTCCGTCTTCTCGTCTTTCCTTCTTCTCGTCTTTCCGTCCTCTCCTCTTTTTGTCCTTTTTTTCTTCCGTCCTTTCCCCTTGCCGTCCTCTCCCGTCCTCTCTCCTTCCGCATTATTTTCCTCCCGTCCTCTCCTTTTTAAATTTTCTTGTCCTTCCATCCTCTTTTCCTTTTGTTTTCTCTTCTTTCCGCCCTCATTTCCTTCCGGTTTTCTCTGCTTCCTTTCCGTTGTTTGTTTTCCGTTTTTTGCGTTCCTTTCTCCCTTCCCCCGCGCGTTTTTGCCCGCCGCCTTCGGGTCCATCTCCCATTAGCATTGGCCACGACCCCAGAACAAACGCCGCCTCCTGTTCTGGGACCTGCCGGCATCGGCGGAGGCGGCGGCAACAGCAGCGGTGACGGCGGCGACGTCGATAGATTGATGATGATAGCGTGCGATATGACCGTGATGATACGATGATATTTGTTGTTGTTTTTGGAAGCTTCGGTGGAGGAGATACGCCGAAATCTACGCATTACGGAAGAGAATCTTCCAAGTCAATATTTGCAGAGTCCGTCTCATCGAAAAGCCCATTTGCCAAGTCTAAGTAAGTTTAAAAGTCAACATTTGCCAGAAATGCCGCTTTTGACCCGGAAAACCCGTGTTCCATGATGCGGTCTTTTTCGCCGAACCGAAATCCCCGAACACCTTAAGCATCAAAGCATGTTGTCCGAAATAAAGATTCAAAAGTTGTTATCGCCTGGACAAATGGTGTTTCGGTTTTTGCATGGGCAGACACTGCACATAGATCAAGACATCGGGATTGCCAAAAAGACATGAGTATCCACGTCCATTGACTGCAAGGACACCGAAACATCGACCCCACAACAATGGCGATTTCAAAATCCTTCTCTCACATTTTGGGCGCCGGCGCTTGCAATGACGATTGGTATTGGTTCAACGGCATTTTTTGCGTCTCCACCGCAACCGCGACCATGGGCACAATGGCGGACCCGACCTCAAGAACACCAACCAAAAAACATCGCTACCGCTGATCCCGCGACCGAGGACCGCCTACCAAGAATTTCAAGGCGAATGCGGACGTGGCGACAGGGACCGTCCAGGCCAAACAATAATATCGATATCTTTTCCTCGGCTCTGGCCGCCACGGCCGCTTTGGCCGCCACGCCCGGCTAAGCGGGCGTTTCCGTGTGCGCGTCCGTTCCCGCGCGCGGGGTGTGATCCGTTTATGGTTTTCGGGGGTCAGATAAGTGATTCGCGTGTTCGTAGCCACAATGTGTGTTCTGTGCGTCCCGTAATTATACAAGTTTTGGTAATTCGGCCAATCGGGAAGTGCACGTACCCCGAGGGAAAAGAAAGATTCGTTTCTCG